TTTGTGGAAAAGCAGTACAAATGTAAAGAATGTTGCAAAGTCTTTAAATCTCACTCAAGACTGTTTAAGCACAGGGGACGTCATACTGCAGAGAAAATCTCCCATTGTGAGAATGATGACAAGTGTGTTAGCCACAGATCTAAATACTCTAACTATAAGACAATTTATAATGTAGAAAAACCCTACAAATGTAAAGAATGTGGCAAAGCCTTTAATAATTACTCAACCTTTTTGTAGATCAAAGAATTCATTCTGGAGAGAAACTCTGCAAATGTGAAGAATGTGGCAAATTTAACAATTCCTCACGTCTCTCTGTACATAAAAGAATTCATTCTGGGGAGAAACCCTACAAATGTGAAGAATGTGGAAAAGCCTTTAACCGGTCCTCACACCTTTCTGTACATAAAAGAATTCATTCTGGAGAGAAACCCTACAAATGTACAGAATGTGGCAAAGCCTTTAACAGTTCCTCAAATCTCTCTGTACATAAAAGAATTCATTCTGGAGAAAAACCATACAAATGTGAAGAATGTAGAAAAGCCTTTCACCAGTACTCACAGCTTTCTATACATAAAAGAATTCATTCTGGAGAGAAACCCTACAAATGTGAAGAATGTGACAAAGCCTTTAGCAATTACTCAAACCTTTTTGTACATCAAAGAATTCATTCTGGAGAGAAACCCTACAAATGTGAAGAATGTGGCAAAGCCTTTAATGATTCCTCAGGCTTTTCTAGACATAAAAGAATTCATTCTGGGGAGAAACCCTACAAATGTGAAGAATGTGGCAAAGCCTTTAACCGCTACTCAATACTTTCTGCACATAAAAGAATTCATTCTGGAGAGAAACCATACAAATGTGAAGAATGTGGCAAATCCTTTAACAATTACTCAATCCTTTCTGTACATAAAAGAATTCATTCTGGGGAGAAATCTTACAAATGTGAAGAGTGTGGCAAAGCCTTTAAGGATTCCTCAAGCCTTTCAGTACATAAAAGAATTCATTCTGGAGAGAAACCATACAAATGTGAAGAATGTGGAAAAGCCTTTAAAGATTCCTCACACCTTTCTCAACATAAAAGAATTCATTCTGGAGAGAAACCCTACAAATGTGAAGAATGTGGCAAAGCCTTTAATCGCTACTCAATACTTTCTGCACATAAAAGAATTCATTCTGGAGAGAAACCATACAAATGTGAAGAATGTGGAAAAGCTTTTAGCCAGTACTCACACCTTTCTGGACATAAAAGAATTCATTCTGGGGAGAAACCCTACAGATGTCAAGAATGTGGCAAATCCTTTACTAATTATTTAACCTTTTCTAGACATAAAAGAATTCATTCTGGGGAGAAACCCTACAAATGTACAGAATGTGGCAAAGCCTTTAACAGGTCCTCAAATCTCTCTGTACATAAAAGAATTCATTTTGGAGAAAAACAATACAAATGTGAAGAATGTGGAAAAGCCTTTAACCGGTCCTCACACCTTTCTGTCCATAAAAGAATTCATTCTGGGGAGAAACCCTACAAATGTGAAGAATGTGGCAAAGCCTATAACGATTCCTCAAGCCTTTCTGTACATAAAAGAAATCATTCTGGAGAGAAACCATACAAATGTGAAGAATGTGGAAAAGCTTTTAACCGATCCTCATACCTTTCTCGACATAAAAGAATTCATTCTGGAGAGAAACCCTACAATTGTGAAGAATGTGGTGTATCCTTTAAACAGTACTCACACCTTTCTGTACATAAAAGAATTCATTCTGGAGAGAAAAGTTAACAAATATGAATAGTGTGGCAAACCCTTTAACTCAGGGTCAAACCAGTGTGAAAAAAATAAGACAACATGGAAACCCTAGAAATACAAAGAATGTGACAAGACCTTACTTGGTGTTCATAACCTACTAAGCTTATAAGAATTTATACTGGAGAGAAATCCTATAACTGTGAATGGTGTGGTGATACACTTATCCAGGGCTCAAATGTACTACACATAAGAAAATTCATATTAGAGAGAAATCTTACAAATGAGAATAATATGGCAAAGGTTTTAACTGATTATTGTCCCTTAGTAAACATAAGAAAATCATGCTGGAGAAAAATCACAATATGAAGGTGTGGGAAAGCTCTAGGCCAGTAATCACAGTTTTCTGTACACAGTAGAATTCATGTTGAACAGAAATGCCATAAATGTGAAGAATGTGACAGGTGTTTAACTTCTGCTCAAATTGTTCTGTATATGAAATTTATGACAGAGAAAACCCCTATAAATGTGAAGACAGTGTTGAATCTGATTCATAGATATATTCTATCTGAGGAATATTACAGTGTCTTTACATATTTCTCATGCTTTTCCAATCATAATTCATATGGGAGAAATAGTCAACAAATGTCAATCGTATCTTAAAGTTGTGTTTATCCTGTTTGGTAGGGCTAAGGAGAAACAGGGGCAGATGATTGTAGGAGATCCCTTGTCCATAATAAGAGGACCAGAATTACCAGAGTGGGCTGCCAAGAAAGAAAAGCATTCAGGAAGGTTTTAAAAAACTGAACTGATGTTTGCTCTACAAAAATGACTCTTGGAGGTGCAGATATGGCCAAGGCCACAATAAGGGGTCTTTGCAGCACGCATACAAGTAAGGTGACAGTAGCCTCAAGTGACCCATTTTCATAAACAGTAAAATTTTCACCACTTTTCTCACAGTTTACAAATACTATGACAACTTCTGGAAATTGTCTTAAAGGGATAGAAATGGGAGGACTCTCCATTCAGGAATTTTTCCCTCTGTCCAGTAAAAATAATAAATATCTTACCCCCTCACCACTTAACATAGATTTGGAAAATCAGCATGATGTGGAAAATCTCACTAACCCAGGGTGTTCTTCACTTCTCTGTAGTGTACTGTTTTTAAATAAACTTTGACCATTTGCTCACTTGTATCTACTTGTTCTGCTCATTTGTTCCACTGTGTTGGTACCAGTAACTGCTTTGTCACCAATAACCAAAAACCAGGGAACACACACTTGACATCCATTCCCCATATGTGACATTTTAGTGCCAAAATCTAGGAGGAAAGTGTATATTTTCAGGAAGGTAAGCTAATGGAACATTAGACATTCTGAATTCATGCTGCCTGATGCACATTACTTACTATACTTAAAGCTCTCACTCTCCTTGCTTTCCAGGTAATGTACCTCCTTACCTACCCCTGATCCATTTCCTTCTTTTTTTGTTTCATCTCCACAATGCACATCTCCCTCAGTTGGGCCTGTTATTCAAAAGATACAAAGGGGCCTCTGGCTCCACAAGTAGAACATTAAACCAGATTTTTAAAGTCTTGATAAGGAGAATTGGGATAAAGATACAGCAAGAGAAAGCCAGTCCAGCATCAGTGCCCAAGAGCTGAAGGAAGCTTTTGAAATGGTTGCTACCACTAGGGAAGAAGGTTGTCAGGGACAGAGTTACTCTAGGGTCAGGCAAGAAGACACCAGGCGAGAGCCCTTTCTGCACCCTGACTGTGGGATCCTGGAGTCAGGAATGGCTCAGGAAGTGGCCTCTGCTGGGACCATCCCCTTAGTACTAGAGAGATGCCCTGGAAGTAACATTTCCCTCTCCTGGAGATGGGGGATCAAACTTGCCTTCCAGACCCTATGAAATCCCTGAACCAACTCTGACTCTCTGGAACTCTTAGTTTGGTGGACACACTCCAGCTTCAGAACTGAGAATGCTGAAATTTGATGTGCTCTAAGTGTTTTTATTGTTGTTGTTGTTGTTGCTTATGCATGTGATGTCATATCAAAGAAGACAGTGCCAAGATGAATGTCATGACCTATTCTCCTATTTGTTCTTTGAATAGTTTTATTAGTTATATTTCTTTTGTTGTACATATTTAATCTGTTTAAAATGTTTGTATTTGGTGCAAGAAATCAGTCCAACTTTATTTTTTTCATGTAGATATGCAGTTTCAACACTGTTTATTGAAGGTACTCCCTTTTGCGTGTGTGTTCATGGTCCCCTGATGGAAGATTATGTGATCATATACTTGGGAATTTATTTGTGGTCTCCCTATTCTGTTGCATCACCTACCTGTCTTTGTGACAGTACCACATTGGTGTTTATTTGTTGTAGCTTTGTGATACATTTGACATCAGGAAGTATGTTATTTCTTCTATTTTTCTTTGAGGTATTCTTGCTCTGTCACACCAAATAAAGTACAGTGGCATCATCACAGCTCACTGCAACATCAAACTCATGGGATAAAGCAATTCTCTTTCTCAGCCTACAGAGTAGCTATGACCACAGGTATGCACCTCCATGTCTATAGTTGTTTGTATATTTTTGTAGAGATGGAATCTTGCTCTTGCTCGGGCTTGTTTTGAACTTCTGACATCAAGTAATTCTCAGAGTTCTGTGATTACAAGTGTGAACCACCTCTGCCCCCAGTTCTTTGTTCTTTTTCAATAATATTTGATTGGTCATAGTTTCTAAACAAATTGTAGGAACTTTTAATAACTTGCAGAACATATACTTTTGGGAGTTTGATAGTGGTTGTACTGAATTTGTTCATCATTGTAGGAAGTATAAATATCTTAACAATATCAAATTATCTAAGCTTTGACCTAAATTTTTTTCAGGACTGTGTTTAATTTCTACATTTTTCTCCATTTCCCTGTTACTTTTCTGCTTTTTATTTCTGATTTTTTTTTTTTTTTTTTTTTTTCTAATTCTTCTTTTTTTTTTTTTTTAAATAATAGCTGTATACATTAATGCAAACATT